GCTTTTTCCAAGTAGGTGGCACGGGCAACGCTATCTCTGTCCTTGTCGCACACTATCTCCGTCTTTGTCTTACACATTGCGGGTATAGGGAGAAACTCTGAAAATACCCTACCGCTAGATGGCGACACTGTCGCCCTCAACCAAAATCGCGACGTAACTAAATCTCAACTTCTCTTTATCGAACTGTAGTCTCTTAGCTTTACAAGCTTTTTACACTATTTACGAACATTTGTATTAGGAAGGTTTCGTAATACAAAATTGAAACTTATAATTATGTGTTTTTGTGATTTCATACTTTATAGAAATTATGGAACTCATCACATGAATCATGATTTGGTAACAGTCAAATAATTTGATAGCATACTTGTAGATTTTTATAAAATGAACTGCAGAGTTTGTTTATGTGGACAGAAGGAATTGAAGAAATGAAATTGTAGTTTCTTTAAAATCTTTTATTGTCCACTGCATACAGCGCTAAGTGAATGTGATTTCTACTGGGCAGCTGTAGCTGATGGCGCCGAAGTCGTAGCTTTAGCCTGTTCTTCACGGATACGATCTTTCTTAAGTTGACCCATGAAAGAAGCTTTGTCGGCTGCGGTTTGGAAGCGCCCATGTCCGAATTTGGAGCTAGTATCGATGAATTTCAGACTGATCTTCTCCAAGGCAGACCGTTTGGTGTGTACCAGCAATGACTGCAAATATACATCCTTCATATTATAACCATATTGCAACATATAATTTCTTAGCATTTAATCACACATATCAGTCCTATCATTAAATATCAATAGAGATTCATATATTGTGTATACTTGGCTCTATACTGATTCATCATAGAATTTTTAAAGAATTTAGGAATAAAATAATCGTGATCATTTACCTTGCGCAGTGTAATCACACGTTTTTTCGGTCCCATGCAGCAACCTTTAATCATAACGAAGTCATTGTTCACTTCACCATAATGAGGAAAGCCACCCATAGGGGTAATGGTTTTTTCGGTACGATCATATTCGGTTGAAGCATTGTTCTTCACGATCTGAAATGAACATTTAAAATACAATTCTCTTGTGATAAATAAAATAAATTTGTGTAGCTTGCTTTGGAGACCTAAAGCGTGACAGATACATGTCTTTAGGCACTATGACTGCAAGGCGTTATTATTTGCCTTGTATAAAAAAATTAATCTTTAACAGTAAAGACTAACAGAGGAACAAGGCAAATTAAAAAGAGGCCACAAAAAAGTACCTTGCCATCCTTGGTGTGAATGCCTTGTCCAATTCTGTAGATCTTCTTATTCATTTCTGTGCGATGGTGATATCCTTTTTGACCAGCACGTGCAACAGTGAATGACACGCGGCTTGGATGCCAAGCACCGATACAAGCTACTTTCCTCAGACCTTTATGTGTTTTGCGTGGCAATTTCTTTGTATGCCAACGTGATGTGACACCTATAAGTACATGGTCGTGTTACTTAAAGTTAGCATGTACCATTAAAGAAAAGTTATAATAACAAAGGTTTCGTAACAAAGGACTTCAGAAGGAAGGCAAGCATAATATCTTCAAACCAGTTAGAAATCAGATGAATACACATCCTGCTTATTCATCATATAGTCCATAAATATAAATACATAGTTCATTGAAAAATTATTAATCGAACTCACCTTTGTACCCTTTTCCTTTTGTCACGCCAATTACATCGATCATTTCGTCTGGGGCGAACACATCATTCACTGGTACAGGCTTTTCTAAATGTTCACGAGCCCACTGAACTTTATCTCTAACAGTTCCACCGTTCAATTGAACCTCCATAATGTGTGCTTTCTTCTGACGTTGTTTCAACAACCTCATCTGTTTGTACAGAAATAACACATTAGACATTGAATAATAATAAATCTTGAATTCAAATAATGAACTATTTAAAAAATTACCTGAGTATGAGCAATAACTCTTACAACTTTACAGTACTTTACGATTTTATTCAAGTCATTTTCTATGGATTTACGGCCAAGATCATCTTGCCATTTCTTGGAAGCTTTTGTGAATGCCTTCTTTTTGCTCTTGTACCTGTAGAAAAGTAACCGTAATGGCTGTTTTTCTCTATACGTCTACAATGATACCCATCTGTAACGTGCCAGCCTCTTCATATAGAGCAGAGACTGTGCACAGTTTTTGAATCAACCTCTCAAAGAACATTTCTCTTTGTGGTTAAATTCAAATGTATACTCTCATCAAAACGAGCGGAGAGCTAATATGAAATTACTTTAATATGTTGTACATGAGAATCAATATCATTATCAAATTAAAAAACTGAAAACGTTTTCGTACCAATTCTTGTAGAACCTTCTACGGCAACCTTCAGAAAGATGTTCTGCCCAAACTGTGGTAAGAGCACGCAGACCATGTGGAGTTTCTGTATAACCAACCACACCAACCACGATCATCGGTGGTGTCTCAAGAATTGTAACTGCTTCCACAATTTCCTTTTTGTTCACCTCTAACAAATACACAAAGTATTAGAATCAATGTTTCATTCAGAAGTATAATATTTGTCTAAAATTAAAGAACTGTGCCAGACATGGTTTGTCTCAAGGATCATCACCCAATGGGTTCCCAAGAGATTATGGAATATGCCGTGCCTCCTTGCACTCTGTATAAACAGGGCATAGAGCTAATATTCGACACTGTGGCGAAGACCATACTGCACAATGTCAAGCAGCTCTTGTACCACAACCAAAGTTGATCCACACAATTTTGTGTTTATCAAACTAAGGTCATCATGTCGGTATTTAACTCTTTGAGTGCCATGGATGTATACATACATTTTTCAATCTTTTTGATTCCATACATGCCACGATAACAATTATGAGTTTAAGACATTAATATAGATGTTTCTTAGCATTATTCAATTTGACAAAACTGAGGAATTACGATTACAATTTAATTACGCCTTGTACGAATATAATTCACGGATCTACAAACGACAACCTAAACTAAAAAAAATTCTCACGCGAAACGTTTCGGCTAGGAATATGCAGCATTCGAAGAGTTAAAAACTGTACTATAATCTTAAAATTAAAAAAAGCAGGCATATTCAGAGTGAATCATGAATCGCGATTAGTAGAGATTACTCTATTAGCAGTCCGATTGAAAATGTTTTCGATTTCCGAATTCGTCTTGAAATCCTCTAACAGATTAGCGTAAAAAATTGTTTATTTACAAAAAAAAATTCATGACCTTGAAAAAATACAAAACAAAAAGTTAACAAACAATTTTTTATAATTATGTTAAAGTTCTCTTGAAACCATGTAAAAGCTGATAACGTTTTCGATCGGACTGCTAATAACAAAGTAATCTCTACCGACCACGATTCGTGATTCACCCTGTATTCGAATCGAAAGAAACTCATGGAATTTGTTACTCACTTGATCCTGGCCGATCAGCTTCCCTGACCACGTGGGTCATGCCAGCCTTATAACCAACAAAAGCAGTCAAATGGACTGGTTTGCTCGGGTCATCCTTGGGGAATGCCTTTACTTTCCCACGGTGACGCTGGGATCTTTTTTTAGGATAGAATCCCATAGACCCATGGCGGGGAGCACTGAACTTCCTGTGCGACTGTTTGCAACGAAATCTAATATTAAATATATGAAACAACTAAACAGAACGAGGTGTTCGAATTATTTAGAAATCAGACCGCCCTAGGATTTTCAGCAAGATTATTCAGTTGAAAACCATAAACTGTACACTAGTGGTATCATCATTTAATACGGGAAAAAAAGTTCTGAACACGTGGTCAACATATTCAATCGTATCGAGATCACGAAATATCACAATTAAATTGTTACATACTAAAAACTAGCTCTAGAGTAACGAATATTTTATTGAACAGATAGTAAAAACATTACGCTATAGCAAAATTTTAAATTTGACAAAAAACCGTTAAGGATTAGCTAGATTTTTGGAGATACAAACAACGTACTCACCATGGTACTCGCAACGATGAAAATGGAGGACTGCTTCCGTTAGAATCGCTTTTATATGGATGAAGCGCGTCAGACTTGCAATATAACGAGGAAAATATCTCTAAATCTAGGGACAATTAGTGTATTGAGCTATGTGAATATTTATTTATTTAAAACACGCCATTTTATTTTTTGAGCATTATATGTTATTTACTTATAAATAAAATTTCTAATTTAATTTGACATTATATATATACATATATATATATAATGTCAAATAAAATGTAGTATGCTATCTCGCGATTCTCTAAAACTTCAGAAAATAGTTTACGAAGAAAAAATAAAGTCAAAAAATAACAAATAAAACCGATATTGCACAGCATTTACATGTAAATAAAATGATTTAATTGCAAATATTTATACAACTCGTTGATTTTTACGAACTAGTTTATAAAATCTGCAATAAAATAGAACTATATTTACTATATTTAAAAATTCTATATAAAATAAGAGATTTTTTGAAATTTATTACATTTTTTATAATTCTGAATTTTACGTAATAGGACAAATGTATAAAACAGGTAGATCATTGAATCAAATTTATCACTTGTAACAACCATTCGGATAATTGATCTTTTACAACGTCTCGTCGTCTTTGGCCTGAAGGCGTTGTGACGTCAAGTAAAGGTTCGAGTGAACTAAATAATTTTCGTTAACTTTGTGTATAAATTGTTGCCATTCAAATGGAGAAAAAGCCAGGTCCGATAGTTCGTTTGGTTGATGGTTTCGTTTGGATGTTAGATGCACCAGTGATCTGGTTTCGAGGTATTACCTAGTCAATTAATTGGTTATGTTGATGTAACATGTCTATAATGGGTTACAAAAATAAACTGGTTACGTTTAATAGAAAATATCGTCCTGCCAAATAGGCAGAAATATCCCTACTATCATCAACAATTCCGTCGAGTTCCAACAATTGATGAATGTCACGTAGATGATGTAGCCTGTTACTTTGAGGCAAACCATCAATTTCTTCGGGATAAGTAATTTCAGTTTCAGTATCAATCTTTATAATTAATTAAACTTATTATTAAGTAAACGTTTCTTTTATTTTATTGTGCATTTTATTAGAATCTAAGCTAAGACTTTGGACTGTAAGATACAAATACATAAAATTTAATTTAAATATGATTTCTTTGCAGAAAGGTCGATGACAAAATTCTTTTTATACTAAGAAATCGATACGAAGAATGTGCACTTAATAGTATGGAGGAATTACAGCTTTGTGGCCATTTAAAAAAAACCTATGACGATGCTGTTACAAACCATTTTATAAAATGCAAGCATATATATGTTATTAAATATCTTGCAATAAATGTTATACACATTAATCTTTAATACGAATGTTCTATTAACTATAGATGGAGACCTCGGTTGCACTATCAACGTAGTAGATGCATTTATGAAGCAAAAACATCGTATGGCTTGGGAACGACGACATGGTCCTATTGGAAGCGGAATGAAAGACTAAATTTTGTAGCTTGATAATTCATGTAAGATATGTACCATTGTATAGACACTCTGTAAGTTGAATTAAATATACAAATTAAAAAAATTTTTAATTTTTTTTTGCTTATATAATGATTAAAATTTTCTGTAATTCATACAATTTTACACATGCCTTATCAATGACTGTCTACTCATTTTCTATTACAACAGGATATGAAAACATCCATATTTATTGTACACGTATAACAAATTATTTTATTAAATACTTGTTTAGAAGATTCCACTGATCAATTATACTTTACAATTTTGTTTATGTTCGTTATTACAATAAAATTTTCTGATACAATCATTTTTTACAAAGCTTTATGTATTTTGACATTTTTGCATGTAGACCAATTTAATTTTCTATTAGCCAGAATATAATACCGAATAATCACATAAAATAATAGATACAGAAATTGGAATTCATGTAATAAAACTCTAAAAAATATATAGAACATTCCTTATAACTAATAGAAAATATAAATTGTGTCAGATTCATACAATTTAATAAAAAATGAAATAAAAATTATCATTATCTTTTATGTAAATATAAAATACAATAGAATCCATTCTTACACAATAAATATAACAAAACTACTTCGTATAATTCATATAAATTAATGGGTATCAT